ACGCCATATGTCATGACCTGGATTTGATTACAGGTCCGGGAAATGTAGTTCTGCAAAGCAGATCAAGGGTAATTACTTTCATAACATAATAAATCTCCAGCATGTTGTTGACCATTAAAGTAAACATCTGCCAAGTGCCCAGTGACCTTTTGCACATTGAAGTTAACGTCTACACAAAGTAAACATCTAACAACCTCCGTTTAGTCTGTCCTGTTACTCCTTTGCAGGTTTTTTATTCCTCTTTTCAGCACTTTACCATATTCAAGCCCTCACCCCTTAGTTGAAATGCTGGTCTTCATTGCCCACCACGCAACACATCTGTAGGGATGACCTGTACCTGAACACATTAAGCGGCCCAAGCTTGCTTACAAGATGGCAGACAGAAGCTAAGCAAAATTAAGCAGCCTACTCACACAGTGAAATACAATGGTACCTTTGAACAGAACTGCTAGAAGTTCAGTAAAAGAACGTTGGATGTTCGCATTCGAGACAGTTCTGATAAAAGGATGCCTTAGAACAGATAAATGACCAATTCCACCTTTACTAATGAAAGGATGATTGTCTCAGTAAATGAATAATGTCAGGTGCTAGATTAGGTCCTCAAGCAGCTACAAGGATAACAGCTAAAGTTATTTCGTAGTAAATGGTTGCTTCTTTGAAGCTACCTGCAATATTAAATAGTTTCTAGCTAAAAAGGCTCTAAATCATAGAAGTTGGTTTCAATACATAACCAGGATGTAATACAAGTCTTAAAAAAAATATTTAAAAGTTAGATATAAAGATTAACTAGCCTTAGGAGATGCCTTCACTTATGCCATGAACAAGATAGATTGATCACAACCCATAAATTACAAAATGCTGACAATAGAAGTAGTTGTACTACATTACACTTATAGTTAACTTTATAACAGAAGTTAACCTTATAGCAATTAGTTAAAACTAACTGACTTTTTATTTTTACATTATGTAATTGCGACAGTGGGAAAATAAAAGGAGTAACTGAATGTGATAAAAGACAGCACCAAAATACAATGGGTAATAGAATTTGAGCTGCTCTTACAGGAAAACAAGCCTGAGAAAGACTGAAGGAATATAGCCATTGAACGTTTGGAATGTGAATAAATAGGATGCATAGCACGATCCCAAGGCCTAGAGATTACAATGTCTAACTAATACCATAAGATCTGGGAACATGTGGCTGTCCATGCAAGTGCCCATCATTGATTAGGTGTCCCACAGGATTGGGCGTTTAGATTAGGGGGAAGGACAGTGACTACGTTGTATTTGATTACTGTAACACAAAAATGTATAAAAATGCTGTACTTCTTTGTACAAGCAGAGCGTGTGTCATTGATCTATCTTCTAAAGCCAGATTTGGGAAGATCCTTCAGCCCTTCCCCTGGATAAACCGGTTTCTGCTTGAATAAACATCTTCCACTTGCCTGAATCCTGCCTACCTCCTGAATCTGAATCTTTGTCCCGGGGTCGAGAAAATGCTCTTACAACATCCCTGATTTTCTTCACCTTTTCTGTCTGATAGCAATGTAGCACTGAGCAGCTAGGTGATTTTAGTTTTCACTACATCATCAAGTTTCTCTCCTGAGGTTCTCTCAATGCTCTCTATCGTTCTTAAATCTTATCCTCTATGAAAGCTCCACAATTCATATTTGTGGCAAACCACTTGACCATTTCATCTTGTGGCCTTACTCACCATTTCTACTGATTGTAGATAAGATCATCTCTGATCTCTTCACTGTATGAATCTCCACCCACAATTTACTTCCTCCTCTAAACCCTACTTCCTTTTGAATCTACTCAGAAAAATACTCTCCCTCAACTGCAATTTCAAATTCACAGCTCCTTACACCACATAATTTCTGCAATTACTGATCTGCGCAACCATACCTTCAACCCCACCTTCAAGTCTGTTAAATTGACTTGACTATTCTCTCAGCCCAGCCCTTCTCTCATTTCTGTTCCTTTAAGTCCATTAGATATGGACTGCCTTGGATATGCCAGAAACTTGCGTTTAATTTAGATAAATGAGGTGCTGCATTTTGGAAAGGCAAATCAGGGTAGGTCTTATACACCTACTGGCAAGGCCCTGGGGAGTTTTGCTGAACAAAGGGAGCTGGTCATAGTTCCTTAAAAATGGAGTCGCAGGTAGATAGGATAGTGAAGAAGGCATTTGATATACTTGCCTTTAGTGGTCAGTACATTGAGTATAGGAGTTGGGAGGTCATGTTGCAGCTGTGCAGGACATTGGTTAGGCCTATTTTGGAGTATTGTGTTCAATTTTGGTCTCCCTGCTATAGAAGGGAGTTGTAAAACCAGAAAAGATTTACAAGGATGTTATCAGGGTTGGCGGGTTTGAACTATAGGGAGAGGCTGAATAGGCTGGGGCTATTTTCCCTGGAGCGTTGGAGGCTAAGGGGTGACCTTATAGATGTTTGTAAAATCATGAGGGGCATGGATAGGATAAATAGGCAAGGTCTTTCCCCGAGGTGGGGAGTCCAAAACTAGAGGGCTTAGGTTTAAGGTGAGAGGGGAAAGATAGAAAAGAGACCTAAGGGGCAACATTTTCATGCAGACGGGGTGCATATATGGAACGAGCTGCCCGAGGAAGTGGTGGAGGCTGGTACAATTACAACTTCTGGATGGGTATATGAATAGGAACGGTTTAGAGGGATATGGGCCAAATGCTGGGAAGCGGGGCTAGATCTATATAGGATGTCTGGTCGGCATGGACAAATTGGACCAAAGTGTCTGCTTCCGTACTGTACATCTCTATGACTCCATGACAAACAAAAAGAAATTGCTGGAAAAACTCAGCAGGTCTGGCAGCATCTATGGAGACAAAACAGCTTTAACATTTCAAGTCCAGTGATCCTTCTTCAGATCTGGTTTAACTATCCACTTTCAGGTATGATTGGACTATTGAGGTCCTTCCCCAAATGTGAAAACCACTTACTATTCTAGATATTTATGGAATGCCAAGGTAGCCCTGGGTTTTTTTTCTTTATTGCAAGTAATCTTTTTAAATTTTCTCTTCACCCCTATCCTTCAATATATATGAGGAATACATGACAAAAATCCAAGCATGAAATATAAAGGTTAAGATGAACTCATTAGCAACAGTCATTTCCCTTACTTTTTTTTACTTCCCAGGGCAATACTTCCTCCAAACCTTCCACCTATCCTAACGCTGAACTGATTTTCTTCTTCAAATTTCTTCCTTATTTGCCCTCATGATATCTCCAAGACCATCTTATCCATATGACCTATTTCCTATTCTCTCAACCCTTTTCTGACAAAACATCCTGGCTTCTGTGTTGACATTGTTAATGGCTCTCTCTCAGGCTGTATGACCCATTCCTTCAAAATGTGATATCAGCCCACATCTTGAAACACTATCCTTAGACCCAACATCCTTGCAAACTACGAACCCATCTCCAACATCCCTTTCTTCTCCAAAGTCTATGAAGATGTTGCCACTTTTCCCCATCTTTTCCAGAATTCCACATTTGAAACCCTCTAAATCAGTTTTCTGCCCCTAGCATAAGACCAAATGAAATTTTTATCCAAGTAACAAATAACTTCTTATGTGACTGTGATGAGAGTAAGCTATCCCTCCTCTTCCTTCTCAATTTCTAGGCAGCACTTTACAGTTGATCACGCTTCTCTCCTATAGCTCTCCAGCTGGATGCAGCCACCAATTCTTTGTGTCTATCAAATCATAATCAAAAGTATCACCATTCATGGTTTTGGAGACTAGTAGGATGTGGAAAACTCATTAGGGATGCTGGAATAATCAAATCTACAAGTAACAATAGTATGGATGAAAGGTTTAGGAACAAATAAGCAAAGTCAAAATCAGATGATGTCACAGATGGAAAGAGGCAAGGAGGAATGGTTCATCTTTGTAACAATCAATTAGGATATTTAGACTTGACAAGTCCTTTTGGCACAGCTGCAAAGCAGAAACTTGGTTCACCACCCTCTGGCTGAAAAAATACCTCCTCCTCGCAGTTCTAAACGGTTGTCCCTTCACTCCGAGACTGTACCCTTGTGTCCTAGTCAATCCTACTGGTGGAAACATTTTATCCACATCCACTCTATCCAGGCCTCTCAGTATTCTGTAAGTTTCAATCAGATCCCTCTCATCCTTCTAAACTTCATCAAGTACAGACCCTGGGTGTTCAACCACTCTTCATATGGCAAGCTCTTTATTCCCGGGATCATTCTTGTGAACCTCATCTGTATCCCGTCCAAGGTCAGCACATCATTCCTTAGGTACAGTGCCCAAAACTACCCAATACTCCAATTGCAGTCAGGCCAGACTGACACAGCATTATATAACCTCAGCAATATATCACTAGCATTTGTATTGTAATCTTCACAAAATGAACGCTAGAAGAGTTTCTGCCCATGATCGAACATAGAAGTTTTCTGCTGGAAGGCATGACCTGAAACATTAATTTTGTTTCTTCTCGCCACAGATGCAGCCTGACTTGTCCAGTACTTCTACCCTTCTGTATTTTTTATTAGAAGATAAACTTGGGAGAAGGGAGGGGTTTGAGTACAGTATGACAACAATAACATCACAATATCAACACATGCGAATCGTGGTGCATTGCGATGGCATTATTCGGTGACAGGAGGCGTCCGTTTGCTCAGTTGATTGATTTGAGAAGCAGTGATGCCAACAGCGCGGGTTCAATTCCCACACCAGCTGAGGTTACCACGAATCATTCTCCTTCACGTATTAAAAAAAACCCCAAGCTTCTCCCTTCTCCAAACATCCAGAGTTCCAGGTTGTGACAGGAGACGGATCACCTAAGAACAGCAGCAACGCTACAACTAAACGGACCAGAGCTGCTTCCAACTTTCCCACAGTCCCACAGACCCGGGACCGGCTGACACAGACAATCCCCTCCGGGGGTGGGGGGTGCTGACACGGTTCTGGACCAGTGACATTTAAAAGTAGTGATGTAACTTACCAAAATTAGCGCTGCTCTGGTGGGGACCAGCCGTCTCCTGGCACTGACAGCTCTGATAGAGGCTCTCAATATGGAGCCAGACATATTGCAGAGCGCGGGGGGGAGGGGAAGGGAATAAAAGAGAGACAGAGACAGAAAGAGAGAGACGATCAGAGAAGGAGGAGGAGGGAGAGGGGGAATAAAGGAGGGTCATTGGGTGGGGTGGGGAGGGGAGTGGAGACGCTCACGCCGCAGTAACCGACAATCTGATTGGTAACTTCAATAATAGGTCCCGGTTTCAGCCAATGACACAGCTGCATGGTGAACCGTCTCCACCCCCCCCCCCCCGGCCTGTCAAGGTTACGGACCAAAAGAAGATGGTCGTCCACCTCCTGGTAAATGTTGTCCTTTATAGAATGTAGTTGTGTTTCTCACTGTGTAAGTCTCAAATTATTTCTGCCTAATCAATGCCTCGTATACAGTGTATCGTAACTCACAGCCCCCTAGTTGCTGTTATATTAAACTCAATCCCCCGGCTCCGAATAACTTTCATCCAAAGCTCCGAACTCTGATACTAATGATCAATCCTATAAAAGCCTCACAGCACCAAGGACCCGGGTTCAATTCCTCCCTCAGGCGACTGTCTGTGTGGAGTTTGCACATTCTCCCCGTGTCTGCGTGGGTTTCCTCGCACTCCAAAGATGTGCAGGCTAGGGTGGATTGGCCATGCTAAATGGTCCGTAGTTTTAAGGGATGTATAGATTAGGTGGGTTATAGGGGGATAGGTCCGTGTGGAATTGTTGGGCCGAAGGGCCTGTTTACACACTGTAGGGATTCTATGTTGATGATGATCCTGCACTGCTCAGTAGTTGTCAGCAGTTAAGGTATCGTATAAGTGTTGATAATTGCACAGAGCCTTTGGCTTTTCCCAGGCTGTTCTGTTTGTCTTGTTCCATCCATTTTTTAAAATATTCGCCCTCGTGGTCACAATGAGCCACGCATTTGAAAGCATTGCTGATTTTGTATTAATACAAAGATTCATAAACTTTATTTCAGTATTGGGGTTATCACTATACCTAGTTCTGTATTTTGTTTACATTCAACACAGCTCATTTTGCAATTTAAAAATGCATATCATACCAGTTTTTTTTCCTGTTATTGTACATCGTAAGTCAGAATAAATTCTGCCATATTTATGTCACTCAGAGATAGTAAGAACTGCAGCTGCTGGAGTCAGATAACAGCGTGGAGTTGGAGGAACACAACAGGCCAGACAGCATCAGAGGAGCAGGAAAGTTGACTTTTCGGGTAGGGACCTTTCTTCAGAAATGGGGGAGGGGAGCTCAGAAATAAATAGAGAAGAGGGGTGCCCCTGAGCTCCTTTTTCCCACCCCCATTTCTGAAGAAGGGTCCCGACCCAAAATATCAACTTTCCTGCTCCTCTGATGCTGCCTGGCCTGCTGTGTTCCACCAGCTCCACACTGTGTTATCTCTGCCATATTTATATTACTGGTTGTCATCTATTCTCTGTTTTATTCACTAGAACCTTATTTGTTTTCTACATATCCAATTTAGAAGAGAAAGATTTGCATCACATAGAACATTTCATTATCTCAAGATATCCCAATTTGGCTTGAGGCAATGAAATAGGAACACCACCATCTGCAAGTTCTCCTCCAAGCCACTCATCATCTTGAATTGGAAATATACACCAGTTCCTTCAGTGTCACTGGGGCAAATTGCTGAATGGCTCAGTGGTTAGTGCTGCTGTTCACAGGAAAATTTTCCAGCCATTGTGTCCTACAGAGTCTTTTAGCTGTGGCCTGTTACTTTCCAACAGGTTTATTTGAAATCACAAGCTTTTGGAGTGTAGCCACTTCACCTTACGAAGGGGCTCCCTGGTATTGTGTGACTTCTGTCTTTGTTCACCCCAGTCCAAAACTGGCACCTCCACATCATGGCCTTTTGCTTTGTTCTTTTTCACTTGCTTGTAGCAGCATTCACAACTTGAACATTCCTGTCTCTCTCTGTCAGTAGTTGTATTTTTAGTAACTCTTTAACATTTGGGGAGGCTTTGGTGTAGTGTTAATGTCCATGGGCATTGGTTTAAATCCATTATGGCACATAGTGAAATTTGAATTTAAACTTTAAACATTACAAGTATGTCTAATGGTGACCGTGTAATTATTGTAAAAACCCATTTGGTTCAATTTAGGGAAAGGGATTTGCCATTTTTACCTGGTCTGACCATCCAGGCCAAGTGAATTAATCAGTGCAAGGCCAATAACAGATGGGCAATAAACAGCACCCACATCCCATGAATCTTATCTCAGCTTCATTTGTGACACTATGTTTCAAGTTCTTAAGACAACATTGTACTGTGAATTTATTTAAACTATCCAAGATGGTGGCCCTGTATAACTACCACAATCCAGGAGGCACCTTGGTATCGATTGCATATCTATCCCAAACATATTCTGTGTAGAAGTCTGTGTAGAAGATGAGCAACAACTCTTACCCTTCTACAGTGGCAGCATACACCCAAGTCAGTGGGGCTGCTGTCATTCTAAGAAATGCAAGCTCTCTATTTGAGCCCACTATTTCAGCTTCCAACCACAGAAATATGCTAATCATCCCAAATTGAATTGTTATCCTGAGAGGTGGCCAAATATGAGGCCATCTTTGGTTAGATCATGCCAGCAAGGAAGCTGCCTGCACATGTGCGGTCAGGACCAAGAATTGGTCTTGAACCACTGCAGTCCATGTGACCCACAATGCCATTACAATCATAGAATCCCTTGTATGAAAAGAGCCATTTGGCATAGCGAGACGTCACCAACCGTCTGAAGTGCATCCCATCCAAACCCAGTCCCCACAACCACCCTATACCCATAACCCCACATTTACTATGGGTAACCCACCTAACCTGTACATCCTTGGACAGTACAGAGCAATTTAGCATGGCCAATCCACCTAACCTGCACAGCTTTGAAGTGTGAGAGGGAACCCATGTGGACGACAGGGAGGACATGCAAACTCCACACACACACTCACTGAACTCGAGTTGAAATAGAAGTCTATGTAAAGCAGAATTGGCAACTTTTTCATGTGTAATGACAAAATTACAAAATTGTTACACATCTTCTTAACAAGTTAGAACAACCATACTCTTATTACTGTTGGTGAATGAGATTATTTTAAAGAGTATTCCACCCTAAATCTCCTCAAAGAATAAAAAAAAGTTTGCAGAAATACTTAAAGCCTTGAAGGCATGCTTTGAACCCCAAGTGAACAAGACTTTTGAATATGTGTTCAATATTAGGGGCCAACATGAAAAGGCATCCACTGATCAATATGTAACTAACAAAGCTCATAGAATAGTGCAAATTTGCTCCACTTGAAGACAATCTCATTGAAGGCAGGATTGGATCAGGCATAAAAGAAGATGCAGTGAGAACATATCCACTGAAAGAAGAGAAACCTACTCTCAGGAAAGTGACTCAATGTGTGCAGAAGTACTGAGGTTCTACGTCAACAGCTAGACCATATTCATGACAGAACAGACTAAGCTTTGCATCATGCTGATAGACACTCCATTCTCAAAGGATAGAACAATCATGGACATAGGATAGAATGCAAACTGCAAGAACATCAAGCATAGGAGAACAAAACTAGAAGGAAGCACAATAAGTAAATGCAGATTGCCACTGGAGACATATCAGCAAAAGATTCTGACAACTCTCTCTACACCATACAACCCAGTTGCAGGTCGGTCGGTGATAATTTATGTGTTACTGTTAGAATGAGGATTGCAAGAGGAGAACATTAAGCCAATATAAAATGTCAGTTTGATAATGCGACATGATGCAACATCATGACCTTCATAGACCTGTGCAAAGGGCTCAGCCTGGTAATCTAAAATTGCAGCCCTCAAAAGTTAAGTTTAGCCTATATGCTGGCACCATACTTGTGTTGAGAAGACCAAAGTCAATTTCAAGCTGTTCCACCCATTTTCAAGCACAACTAAGCTGAATTTGAAGCTGTTGGATTTGAAGTGGTAGGCCGTAAGTGAATAAATAATGACATCAGCATCTCCAATGAAATATTGTAGCTTTAAAATATTTGTAATGATTTTTACTTTCATTATTCAATGTCATTCTATATACATAATGTGTAATGTACATAAAAGATAAAACAATGAAGAATGGTCATCCAGAACACTGCTCAGTACCATGTTTAAAGAGATAAGTTAATGTTTTGGGCGTGGACATAAAGATGGACTAAAGATGTGCCGGCTGTCTTCAGAGATAAGGTTGCTTATGAGTGAACAAATAAATAGTTTCACTTTGAAAGGGAGAGGGAGCAGACTGTATGTTAATATATTAAACTTTTGTCAGACCAATACACAGGTTGAAACTGTTATTCTGCACTAATAAACCTGCTTCAAATGCAGAGGAGCGAATGCAATTATTGTTAACTTATCCTTTTTAAAAAAAGTTTGGAAATTGCTAATATTTGTATTCCTGGGCTTCTACAAAGAAATTGACTGAATTTCAAACATGAAAAAATCAAATTAGAGAGTTTGTTTTCATGTATATGTTGAAGTCTCAGTGTTCCAATTTCAATGGAAGCTTATATATACCTCTATTGAAAATAAAGTTAATATTATTCATCATATATACAATTTAATGCTAAGAAACTGCAGGAAAGATTGAGTGTAACATCCTAGTAGAGTGCTTCTGGTTCTCATATCAATATGTAACTTACTGTACTTTGCCTTATTTTTGCTTCTGTGAATCAGTTAGCTTTGAAAAATATCAATAGTTTAACTTGTACAAGATGGGCTAAGGTCAAAATTTTAAACATTTTTTGAGTCGAGAAAAGTGTACAAGGACCCCTTCCTTTTTCTCTCAGAATTAGAGAAAAGCCATTTGGTCAATTATGTTTGCGTAAATATTTTCTTCATCAATGCCATCTCATATAAATTCTACTCTCCTGCTAATTCGGAATACCTTTTAATGTTCCTTTTTCGCAAATAAGTATGTAGTTCCCTTTGAGAAGAATTTGTGGATCTGCTTCTGCAATGATCTATGATGGACATTCCACCTTCTAACCATCCTCCATGCTTCAGAAATATTTTAAAATGCCCTTTAGATCTCTTTGTCATTATATTTGCTCCCTCTCAATTTTTTTTTTCCCCCAAATCTGAAGCTGAGGAAAAGCATCAATATGTTAAGTGGCTGTG